ACACACACACACACACACACACACACACACACACACACCATCCTGCAGACTGCTTTACCACATGTGGATAAAAGGGAACAGACAGAGGCCACCTTTCCCAAGGAGAGCTGACCCCGAGCCGCACAGAGCAGAAACTGAAAGGAACACAGTGCTCTGAGAGAAAGAGAGAGAGCCCCTGTCGCTTTTATTTACCTCCGCCGCCCTCCCTCTTTTCATCCCAGGATCTCAAAGCCGGCCCGCACGCCCGGTGCTGCACCCTGTTTCCTGGGGAGCATTTTTCCTCCCCCACCACAGACATGAAAAGCATTGGCCTTCCTGCCCGGGGAAGAGGCCTGAAGGGCTGCGGGCGAGAAAAGTGTGTGTGTGTGTGTGTGTGAGTGTGTGTGTGTCTTTTTAAAAAAAGGTTGGTGGTAACAGCAGGGATGTGTGCTTGCGTGGTGGTTGGTTGTAGGGGGCAGCAGGCCAGCGCTTCACAAGGTCCAGTCGACACAAACACTGGGATTCAGGAGCAACTTGACCCCTCCTCTCCTCTCCCCTCACCTCACCTCCCTTCATCTCCTCCTCCTCCTCCTCTCTCTACATTAGTGCTCAGGAATGCCGGCTGGAGGTTTTTTTTTTGCAGGAAATGAAACGCTCCTCTGTTCAGACAGCTAGCAAAGGTTTAGTCTCCCCCCGTCTCTCTCCCCCAATTCCTTTCCCTCTACGGGACGGAGGGAGGGAGGGAAAGGGGAAGCAGTCGGACAAGCTCTCGCCCAGCTTTTGAAGTGTGGGAGGTTAAGATAACTGGCACAGCCTCGCGTCTCAATCGCCGCTTTCACCTCCCCGGTCAAATCAAAGAGCCCGCAGCTGGGGCCCGCCTGCCTTATAGCCCCTTAACCTCCAAACCCACCAACCCACCCACCTCCGCAGCTCCTTCCCTCGCTCCCTACACAGAGCTCTGGGCTTTCTTTCTGTGCCATTAAAAGGGAAAACACTGCTGACAAATTACTCTAAATATAAGCCAAGTGGAGAGAGGTGTCTCCAGCGCAGGCTGAGGAGCAGACTTTACCATGGCAGAGGAGAGAGGGAAAGACTGGGGGGAGATGGAGAGGAATCCAAGTGAAGGACGATTTGTGATTCCTGTTTATTACAACTTGTTTTCATTAACCTGATGTGCGAGATGCTTTGTTTCACCAAAACATTTCAGATTTGATTCAGCACACACTTAAAAAAAGAAATATGGCAGGTGGTTGGATGAAACAACTGTCAATCATGGTTGCCAAGGACACCAATTAAGAGAAGAATGAAAAGCACCCAGTGTCATCGATTGCTCTTGTTTGTAAAGAAATACTGATGCTACAGTAGCATCTATGCTAACATAGTTAAGAGGTGCCTTGTTACTAATTAAATCACTTATCACGCACCAATAGCTGTCAGCAATTCCTTCCTCACAGGACACTGATTATTTTCATCATCCATATATCCGTCAACTATTTTTTGGATTTGCTGTTTAATTGTTTTGTCCAAAAATTGTAAATGCCAAATGAAAAATTATAGTCTATAGTTAAAAAGGGCTTTGTTTGTTTGATCAACATCCAAAAACCCGAAGATATATTCAAAACGAAAAGGGGCTGAAACCAGTGAATGTTTGAGGTTTTAGCTTGTAAATAATAAAACAGAACCAACTATAATTGCACTCAGTAGAGTGCATTCCTCCAAGACCCAATAGTCTCCTTAAATAGATGTAATCAAGCACCAACTGCACATACTCAGATATCAGTCCCATAAATATACCTGATTTTTCATCAAGATCCATGAACTGTTTTGTGGGAAATTGTCAATAACGTCAGAAAATAAGACCTACATTCAATGGGCTCTTCCCTGAGCCGTACCACATCCCTCCACCAAGTTTCATGGAAATCCCTTTGGTAGATTTGTGTAATTTTGGTCACAAACAAAAAAATAGACGGAGGTGAAAACACGACCTCCTCGGCAGAGGTAACTAAATCGACCAAATCTAATCAGGATCAGTGCTGAAACCTGAGATCCAACAAAAACTCTCTGTCAATTCTTTCTCTCTGTTTCATCATCCTCTGAGGTCACACCAACAGATCACGAGCTCCATCAAAGAAAACATCGACACATTCAGACTCTGCTGTGGTGACAAGTCTTGGCTTTGACCTCTGCCTGGACTGCACAGTTCACTTTGGTGACACCTTCTCAAAGCAGCCTCCTCTATAAAGTTGTGGCAGAGCTTCTCTCAAACACACCAAGGGAAAAATAAAAAAGAGGCAGGGTAATAAAAAAAAGCACCTGGAAGAGAAGGCAAAGTCTTAAACTAAATTCTCTGCCCTGTCAGCACTTTCTTGGCTCTGAGACATTCAACTTAAAAAGAAATTGCCGCTTTAAAAAAGCTTTTTAACCTCCAATCAAAAGTCAGGCTCAGGGGGGCTGTTGTGTCTTTTCCACGGGGGGATATCAGAAACTAACAGGTCAGTCAGGAGGGGCTTAAACTGAAACAGTGGGGAAGAGAAAGAAAAGAGGAGGAAAGACTTAAATATTGGAGCGTAAAGAAGGGTGGGGACTGGTTGTGGTCAAAGGGGGGAAAGGGGAGGAGGGGAGTCACTGAAAAAACCCAAACCTCAGGCATGTGTGGGTGAGACGAGGGGAGCACAGGAGGGTGTGGGAGGAAGGGGGGAGGTAGTGGGAGGCATTGCCCACATCTGAGGCGGCATCGCTGGGGGGCCCGGGCAGCTGAAGTCTGGCCGTGTGCCCCCGCACCGCTCAGTCTGAGCCGCTGCAGGCTGGGGGGGGTGTTGAGGGGGGGAGGTTAGAGCACATTCAAAGGGCCTACACAATGACGGCTCCCTCTGCTGTGGTCTCGCTTCAAAGGCCGCCACCGCCGCTCATATTCACCACCAGGACAGAGGAGAGGAGCAGGGAAGAGGAGGAGCGGCGACGGAGAGGAGTAAAGTGGCAGAAAATGAGCGAGGGATGAAAATGAGAAGGGGCTGAGGGTTTTTGCCTCCTCTGACAATTACCAGACCGTGTGGAGTAAAATAAAAATAAACACTGCTTCCCTCAGACCTCGCTGTTCTCTTCCTGTCTGTGCCCCAACATTACCTGGGGGCCTTTCGTTCACAGATAAGAATCTCACAAGCGTTTTTACAAGGCCACATATCTCCGCCTCTTCCCAAAACAAGAACAAAATAGGGGGGTTTGCAATGGTGGGTAGACGCAGAGAGAGAGAGGGAGGAAGTGAAGAAGACATTACAAAAAAATTAAAGCTGAGAGACTGGACCCTCATACTGTTACTGCAGCTGACCAAACCACAACACAATGGGTCCGTGACTCAATCAAAACAAATTTCAAGCCTCAGTCTAAACAATGGCGGCACTTTAGCTGCATGTAAACACAGATCTTTAAGAGGGTTATATCCTCATCTTAATGGTTTTCTCTCTTCCTCTCGAGTGTGTTGCCAGGTCAGGATGAGACAACCTTGTCAGAGTCCAAGATTTGTACTTCTGAGCTAAAACCACACTCTTGCATTACACCACGTTTGACATACTGCCACCCTCTGGAAGTCCATATACTTCCAGAGTGCTTGGGGGGGGTATTTTTCTCTACAGAGTCTGCTTTGTGGAAGTCAGGGGGGAAGGAGAGGACAGTGAGTGAACCTTTTCCAATTCTATATCCTCCGCACAGCAACATTAGCCAGGGCGTTGCTCTGATTTCAGCCCAAATCTCTCTCTTCTCGCTCCACTTCCCACCCGACGAATTCTTTTTTCTGTGAAGAAGTACAATTTTAAAAACAACTGAGAGCGAGACCTAGAATCCTTCTTTTTGTGATCTGGATTCCTTCCTCAATTATCCCAGGTCACTAATAAGGGAGGGTGTGGAGCCACTGGGCTGTGCCGCAGCAGCCTAGAGGCTCAGTGCCAAATTGAAACGACTCGGGAAATAGAGGCGGACACTGGATCTTGCCTAATTGCGGCTGGAGTGTGTGGCTGCTCGGGTGTGTGTGAAATGTGCAGAGAGTGATGAGGGTCTGGTGGAGAGACACACAGAGAGAGAAACGATGAGAGGTAACAAATAGAGAGAGGCAGGAAATAAATAAGGGATGGAGACTAAACTATGAGTGGCAGTCGAGTGAGATTGGGCAAACTCAGAACTCTCCAGAATGAGGGATTTTCTTCGCTCTCCCTTTTCCCTTACACACTCACTCACTCCCTCTCTCTCCTCTATTCTCTCCTTCCTCTTTGCTCATCAAAAGTCTTTTGACAGCTGACTTCTGGCTGCACACATCAGAGGGAGCAGAGCCGGGGCACGACAGAAGAGAGGAGGAGGAGGAGGAGGTGGAAGAGAGAGTCGCCACCAAAGCTCCTGCTACACTTTTTCTTTTCATGTTTCTGCACCAGGACATGTGGCTAGAAATGAGCCTTGACGCACTGACAGAGAACAATTCTTAAAAAGCCAAGATATCCAGAATCATTTGATGAAAAAAACACAAGCATACAGGAAAACTGGCCTGTAAAGACGTTAATTTAGCATGTCGACAAAAGAGCACCTTCATAAGAGTCGGAACGAGATGACTCATGTAGTTTTATGGCAGTTTGCAAGTGTTTGCAACTCCACAGTTCCCACCAGACAAATCAAAAAGCCACCTTTGTTAGGAGTGTCTCCCCTTGTGAAAAAAATGTGCAGCAGCCGAGACAGAAGAAAGCCTCCAGGGCACGTATGTATCTCGTCCAGATAACCATCTTAAAGGCTGTGAATCAGAGGGGCTGAGTCAAACAAAAGGCTAACAGGGCGAGAGGAAGCAAGAGACGGGAGAAACAAAATAAAGAAAAAGTGAGGAAAGGAGGAGTTTCAGTGCGCTCTTAAAGTCGGTGTGAAGAAAAAACAGGGCCAGAGGGTAAGAGACGGAAATCCTAATTTCACAATGTCAGAGTAATGACTTCTCAGAGTGCTCTTCCACTGTGGTGAGAGCCAGCTGTGTGGCTGGCCCAGTGTTTGACGTGCTAAAGATAACAAAGAGAACCAATGTCAAACCATAAAACACAGCTCGACGACTCAACTCCCGGTTTGCCTCACAGGCAGAAAAACTCAGCAATGGCCATAAAGTATGTTAATATAAAAACGTTTCAAGTCAATTTTTCCCTCCATAAAATCTACCGAGAATGAATCATTTCATCTTGTAATGCTGGATGTTCTTCATTATGATGGTGCAGATGCTAAAAATAAAATCTGATGGAGCAAAACGTGTAGAGAATGTGTCTGAAGAATTAAGTCACTAACAAATGCCCGTCCGGATTTTTCATACAGGGGTAGAGACAGATGGGGTAGAGGCTGGGGCAGATGAAAAGAAATAGACAAACGAGTTCATTTAAAGATGTTTTTTGGCGTCTACACCGAGCTAACCTCAATCCAGCTCTTTGGGATCTGCATAAATTGAGGGCTTGGGGAGTTGTGGCAGTATCCTTGGTATTATGCATATTAGTTTAAGGCTGTCACTGAGAATCAGCAAGGGTGTCCATCCCGCTGCGGCTAGGCACTGCTAATTATTGGATCAGAGATAAAGTGCTTTTTAGCGCTTGCATTCGCTGCCTCCGCTTTCTCCGCTTTGAAAAGTGGCAGTGGCGAAAAAGAGAAAAAAAACAGAGAAAAGAAAAGCCGCCCGACCAATTTTGGGTTCAGAGAGAGCCACTGGGTCAGGAATCGATCAAGTGGAAAACCTTTGTCTGGTTGGGGTGATTTCGACTTAAGACCAGATTTGTCACATCTGCCTGGCTTCTCCTGCTGCCGAAAGGGAGCGGAATAACAGGATGCTACCCGACTCACTGGGAGGGGAGAGGGAAGGAGATGGATGGAAGGCAAACAGATCCATAGTGAGTGAGGAAGATTGAAAGAGGGAGAGGAGATTTGCCTTCCTCACACATTGGGAAATGTTAATCCTCTTTAACAAAAGAGGGACAGGTGACAGTTTGGAGAGGGGTTGACATGTGTCATGAATCAATACATCTCAACATATCTTTCACATGTTTAAAAAAAAACGCTACAGGAGTGCCTTTGTTATGGAAGCATTATAGACACCCTGAAACCCCAGATACCGTGAAATCTTGTTAAGGTATAGCATCTCATTAAGTTCCTGCCAAACGAGCTGCTGTGTCCTGCTCCGCTCCACAAAGATGCAGAGAGAGACAACACATGTAGTCCATATGGAGCTGAGCTGACGTCTTAGCCTTCACCAGCAGTAAAAAAAAAAATGTTCTGGGCTCACAAAAGTGTTTTCAGATGTATTATTTTGAAAACACAAGAGTGGATGAGCTGATATTCAAAGCAACATTTGCAAAACCCACAAGTTTTTCTGACACACGATGGAAGAAAAATAAGCCACAAACCACTGACACGACGTCCTTGACCTTCACCCAATCAGCACTGAACACAAAATACACTGATTTGACCAGTTTAACATACACACACATGCACGTTTACATACACACACGCAGAAAATCCAGTGCCTATTGTGCTGAGGCCTTTGTGCAAACAATCCCTCTTCAGGCCTGAACACCACCGACACAATGACTATGGTGAGGTTAGGGTGGACCTTTTTAGGATTAGTCTGTGAGTACATACTCTCAAGTCAGTGTTTGGCAGATTAAAAAAGACTGGACATAAAACTGAACTGGACCAGACAGGAAGGGGATAGAGGGGGGTTGTCTTACCATTTTCTCAGATGTACGCCGTTTTCATTCTCTGGCCTGTACCTGCAGAAAATTGCATCTTTTTTAAAAAGTTTTTTTGGGGGGGGAAGTTTCTGGACAGCATTGATCTTTACCATCCATTTGGCCTACACAGTGTGCAGACCAAAATAACAAAAGAAATGGACATTTTACTTAAGATGTAATTCTCAATGGATTACACTTGCAGTGCTGAGAGGAAGCTCAGGAGCGCAGCCATACAAGGTCAGCAGAAAGACAGATTGTAATGTAGCAAGCAAACAAGTAATGCAAAGCCCAGAATTGGTAAATCGTCGTATAGAATGGACAGACTAATCCCAAAGTAGGTGTCATGTGTTAAGAGAGAGGCAAGGGACAGACAAATGGAAGGATGTCCACAAAAAAATGAATGAGTGAGTAAACGGCCTGCACAGAATCCAGACGCCAGAATAAGGACAGCAGGTGACGTTAGTGTGGTTAGTGAAAATCTCTACATCTACTGGGAGATTAGTTTTATCTTTTTTACATCATGATGACATGAATTCTATGGGAAGATTGTGTAACTCACGACCTCCAGATACAACAGACAAAAGAATAAAGAAGAAGAGAAGGCGGCAGAGGGACTGTTGCTTACCTGTGGTCGTTTCCTGCATCTTCTCCCTCTTCCGCTTCTTCTTCTTTCCCTAAAAAATATACAGAGGAACACATAAAGTGTGGCTCCAGCACTCACGCTCACTAGACCACTCTGATATCCTGCTGCTGACTGCCATGTTCACTCATCCCCTGCTGGGCATCCAACCAGCATCCCTCGGACTCCGGACTCCGCCGCAAAACTGCCCCGCTGAGAGGGATGGACCAACAAAGCATCCGATTCAAAGTAAGTGTTCTCTACCTTCTCTCAACTACTTTTTTAAATAAGTGACTTCCTTTCTATTATTTTAGGGCCTTTCCTGAGTTATTTCCTAATCATAAAGCGACACCTTGCTCTACTGTTGTGACCGTCCTGTGTCAGACTTCCACTAGCCCTTTTTCAAGTGCAATTAAAAACGCTCACCAAAATTAGGCTAGTCAAGCTCAATGACTGAAGAGTGCCACTCTTTTTCCAGCAACGTGGTGGGAGTGTGTGAGGATTTATAGCTTATGCTAAATCCCCAGGGGGGAGACTATAGGTATAGATAGCAGCGTAGAGTCGTTCTAGTCAAATATGAGCAGCACTTTGGTTTCCTGCTGCAAAGTCTGCTAATCCACTTATTCATGAGCTAATCTGCCTTCTACTGCTGCGGCAGACAGGGGAGTGGAGCGACTAAGTGAGAGTGGGTGAGAGAAAGGATGAGAGAGGGGGTACACAGGGAAAAAAAAAAACTATGAATGCTACATGCTCTCAATGCCAGTGCCTTACCTATTTTGGGTGTTTCCAGGCATGATGTGCTGCCTGAGGATTTTAATTGTGGGAGGGGACAGCGGTCACAGGGATGCTAAATGTTTTAAGTTAAAATCATTTGCTTTTACTTTTACAGTAAGAAGAAAGTCATCCCTCTATTTTTTCCCCTACACATAGAATATGTTGGCGCTAGCTATCACTGGCTGATGTTGCGTAGCAGAGCTGTGGAAGCGTCCCCCTCCTCAGCGAGGCATTTTTTGCCGTGGAGCAGTGGAGGCAGAAGGAGGAGGGATGCTGTCGGTGTCCGAGGGGAGGCAGATAAACACCACAAAGCACTTTGGTGGTGGAGTGAATGTGAGTGCCGGAGCCACACTTTTAATAAAGGCTGGTGCTCTCTCACAAATTCATACACACCACATGTACTCAGGGACACATTGCGACAACTTCCAAACACATGCACACAGACACACACCAAAAACCGACTGCATCTTAAATCCAGCTGAACCGCCCACATTCACAAACAAAACGGGCAGCGAGAAGAACAAAGGTTGCTGCTGCTGAATGATGTATACACCACCCAGCCTCCACAACTCAGGCTAAGAGTTGCCTTGTACATCCACACTGATATAGAACATCAAAGCCTAGCATAACCATTACCAGGCAATTTTCACTCACTGTGGCAATAATAATGTCCGTGATACTACAATCCATTTAAGTGTGGATGGTAATGTAGCAGTGAGTCACAGCGTTATGAATTACAAATCAGGCTGAGACAAAGGGTCCACAAATGGACCCTATTAGCACAGAGCCGAGTAGTGTGAATTAGTGTGTTTGTGTGATTATTGTGTGACATTTAAAGAACACGTCATGCAACACAGACATAAACAAACAACAAAAAACCAACATACACACTCGCAGGCGCACCTCTGCCAATCTGTTCTGTTGATACTTACATAATTGTCTCGAGCGGACCAGCCTGGGTAGAGCTGCATGTGGAGCTGCCGTTCCTTGCGGGCTAACTCATAATACTTAGCTTGCTCTTCCCGAGATAAAGCATGCCACTGTTTCAGTACAAAGGAGATTAGGGGAAAAAAATAGCATACAGTCAATTACTGGCATGCACTTGCATGTTCCCTGCATAGAGAAGTGTGCTGGTGTTTTGCTAAAGAAAAAAAAAGCTGTTTCAACTTCCAAACGTTTGTTGTAGAAAAAAACGGGGGATAAAAGAGAGACGAAGAAGAAGGGGGAACATGATGAAGAGATTAACATGCAAAAGAGCCGGAGTGGGAGAGAAGAGAAGGGGGAAAAAAACTTTGATTTCATATCAAAACACTGGTTCCAATTTAGCAGCGCTTTTTATTCAAACTATGTCAGCGAGCAATTACCCTATGCAGGCCACAAACTAGGCTTTGCTGTGGCTGGCTGCCTCAACCGCTGGGCCTATTCGTTAAGGCTTTTAACATGGCTCTGTGGTTGCACTCTTTTCCCAATCCTCAAAAGGAACAAATTTTGTCATTTCCAACCGTGCCATTATCCAGGCATATTTTATTAAAGCCAATTTGATTAAATGTCAGTTAGATAGGCAGTTTGTATCTATGCTGTTGAGAGGGAAATAATTGGCTGGGGCAATCATTATGACAATAATCATGACTGGTTCATAAAAGACTGTATGTTAATAGAGAGAGGAACCTTTGTGCTTTTTGAACTAATTGGGCCTGGAAAGTCGGTCCATACCACCTCTTAAGGGCCATGGCTTGAACCTTGATCTCTTGGTGATTTCACCCAATCAACATAGGAAAGATAAATTAGAGAAAAGGGACAATGAGACCAAGTACAGCGACTTTGTGACCTACCCTTCGTCCCAGGATCTGGTTGATGGCAGCGCTCTCCTTCAGCGTGCACTCGGCGACCACATTTGCACGCATCTCTTTCATGTAGAGCATGAAGGCGTTTAGTGGCTTCTTGATGTGCGGTCTTTTGGGCTCCTGCTCCTTTCTCTGCTCATGCTGGGGTTTCCTGCAATTAAAAGACAGAACAATAGCACCACAGATATAGTTATAGAAAAAAGGTAGAGACAGTATAGAAATTGAGAGACATAAAAGAAAGAAATCGTGGTGCCACAATGGCAACAAAAGCAGCAACCGTCTGATTGCTCTCAGCCAATGGTGAGGCAGTGTGAGAGAGGTTGCCACGCGATGGGCCCCTGCCTCTTTAATCATGTGCAGTTGTGCAGTTGCAGGCCGTCATGCAGAGAGATTACTTCACCAGTAATGGCAACCAAACACTTTTTGTCCATAGCACACTGTTAATCGCTTAAAACCAAATGCTCAAACTCACAAGCCCAAAGATTCTACTCCCTCTCCTGACTTACTTTCTAACAACCTTTCTGATTTGACAGTTTTGGTATGAGGATGGCCATGAATAATGTAAATATCAGATTTCCCACTGCACACACTGGGGATGTGAATTGAGTTCATCCAAGCACTAATCTGGGACCTGCATCTGTAGCTGGCTAAGTGTGTTGTGATCCTTGAGGCCAAATGAAGCACAGGCCTGTTATCAGTGGAGTACGGGCTTCACTGCTTATCTGCTCACATCAAGGCAAGGAGAACAAGGCTCTGACCAAGGGTTTGTTCAGCAATGGCCCGCTGTAGTGGGAGAGTGCACAAATACCTGGAAGTATGTCGTCTCAGAAAATGCTGATAGAGGGGTTGAGTGGAGAAGGTAGAGACCTTTTAACTATTAAAAACTCAAAAAAGTGTGGAAGTGTTTGATAAAAAGTCATTCTGTGTTTGCGGGACTCACATGTGCATGATGTCTGTTTCATGCGGCGGCTCGTGTTTGACCTGTGGGTTGACGATGGCCGGGTGGGGGATCCCTGTGGCGTGAGGGCCTGGGGGGCCAGGCACCATGTGGTGTGAGAACCTGCAATAACAGTGGACAACATGCACTTTAATTAGCAAGCGAGCACAGAGAAGGTCAGTGGTAAGGACAAGGTCTCGAAAAGGTCACTTAAGTGAGAAAAAACGACTGAAATGACAGTAAGAAAAAAGGAGGGAAATACATCCCCATGCTTATCTTGTTCAGATTAGATTTTCAATGCAAAATATTTCGAAAGAATGACAGCAGGGTCACCAACTTCTTGTACTTGCAGTTCTACTTGTTCTAGATCTTTCTTGCACTTTTACAGTAGAGAAGCAGTGCAAAGCTTTAATGTCCCAGAGGGTAGGACTGGCTACAGACAGTAGTCAATATGATCATTTTATGCTGGGGTAAATGAAAATGACCAAAAACAACATAGTAAAATTCTAACTATTGACCGAACATACCAATAATTCTCAACCTGCAAGATGAATCTAGAGGGTTGTGGCAGGATTGCCGGCAGGAAACAAGAAACCACTAAACACTTCTACACAAATTTAAGTTAATTTATCACATATTTCCTACCCCTAACCCTAGCCCTAAAATACAGTAAAGGTATTCCTTCAGGAAAAGTGGGTAAGTACCTAAGAAAAAGTTCCTAGTTAGGGAAAAGTTCCTAAATCAAAAATGGGCTCATATATTACTACTATTCAGATCTAAAGAGGTCTAAGGAGGGGGAGACCGCCTGGGCTTCAACAGTCGCCTGATCCTGCACCTTACATCTGGCATCACTCAGTGTGTGCCTGAAGCCCTGTCTCTGCAAACATTACACTGACGGAGAAAGATAGTAAGGAAGAAGAAACAGAGAAATGTTGGGGAAAAGGAGAGGAAAAGGCACAGGAAATGGAGGTAAAAGACACGAAAAAAAGCACTTCACAAACATGAAGTGAGGCTCAGAGAGAGAAGTGCTTCCAAAAACCTCTGATGGGGGTTAAGCAGCCATATGGTTATGCAGGGGCACGTATGCGGTGATGTGTTTGACATGTGTGCTAGGGGAAAAAGAGGAGCTGGTGTGGCTGAAGCCGCAGCAGCGCAGCAGGAACAGCCAGAGGCAGACCTCCCTGCGAAGGCAGCGGCTGCTGCTGCTGCTGCTGAAGGCCAGCTTGCCTACATTCAGTGCATAAAGCCAGCACAGTGTCATTTTGCAACTGATGTGGGAAGAAATTGATCCCTGTTTACACGAATTGACTGCACATGTTTTTGCTTTGTCCGTCTACGACTCACCATCCCAGTGGTGGCGTGATCTGTCCCACTCCTCCAGGTGATAGGGAATAGAAGTTGGTCATGTCGGGGCCAGGGTGATGCCTTGGCATTCCTGCAACACAACGATGGTGCAGAGGAGTCAGATGTTGAGAATGCAAAGTCAACAACAGGACAGGGAAGCGTGTCATTACTTTGGAAACCTGTATCAAAAGTTGTGCATGAGGTTTTTGAATTATTCTTTGGTCAGACATTTTCTTCAAAACTTAGAATTTTCTTTTTTTTTTTTTCTTTTCAGCAAAACTGTGGTACAGCTTCTTGTGATTAGTCAAACTTTAACACTGCTGAGTCTGAGACAGTTTTGATGAGCAAAAAAATACATCCTGCATGTTCGCTTTCCTCAAATCACTGCTTTAACATCTGTACTGTCTTACCAGATATGCTGAGGTTTTGTACAGGGATCTGCCTCAGGAGAGAAAGCATAAAGTTGGACTGAAAATGATTCTGAACACTTATTCTTGGTAGACAAAAATAAAACTTGAGGTTTATTCACCAGCCTTTTTATAGCTGTTAAGGTCTCAACTGAGTAAACTCAAATAGACTGTAAGTACTGACCTTAAACGTATAATATGTACCTTCAGCCTCTAGGGCTCTCTTAAAAACAACAGTAACAAAAGATCTAGTTTGATGACATAATGAAAAGTGAGGGATCATGCTTTGAGTCAGTTGATTCCCCTGGGCGCTTCGGCAAGAGAATGTGTAGCAAGCGTTACTGAATAATCGTGATCCATTAAAAAAAAAACAATGTTGATCAAAAATCCATTCTTATTACTCATTCCAATCTTCTAGCAGAATCAAGAACATTGCACATGTTGGGAATTGAGCGTGCCTCCTGACCTCACATTATCACCCGGTAGAAAAGGATGATATTTTCTCCGCTTAGCCAGATTCCTTCCAGTGTGGTTTAGTGTCTTTAAGCTGGTTAATTGAAGCTGCCCTCTTTGTGGCAGAGGCTGCAGCGCTCCCTGTAGACATGGGATTGACTTGGACTAACTGTCAGTGGATCTCCAGGACTAAGCTCCTCCATCTCTGCCTTGCCGGCTCCTACTGGGCTTCAAGGTCGAGGGGTCTCTTAATGAGAACAGGGCTGAAGGATGATTAAAATTTAACAATTGATCAGTTTATGTCTTCTCATGTGACACCTATTTGGGTTTTTTTTTCCATTTCAGAGCAAAGGGAAGTGATTCCATGATCCAGATAGAGAAATACTGTTCACGGACAAGTGGAGTGTTTCTACACGTATGCTCAAACACACATACAAAGGAAAGAGGGCAAATGCCTCCAGATTAGCACCATCTTCTAATCCCTGCCGGAGCCAGGCTTTTCTCCCTGCCTCTATCCTTTTCTCTTCTTTCTCTCTCTCCGAGCTGTGGTCTGAGGGGGCCTCCCTCTTCTGAGAGGCAGGGCGAGCGAGGGGCTTATATCTCCAAAGCCAATGTTGCAACGCTGGATTCATAGCGCGCATAGCACTATCCCCTGCCCACTAATCCACTAGCGAACACTCCTCAGGGCCCTCCTGAGGGCAAAAGGGAAGGAGGCAAGGGGGTGAGGCAGCCAGGGAGGAGAAGAGAGCCCCAGCGTGTTAACCTTGTCACTCACACCCCTAAGGTGCCTATTTACTCACTCCCCCCTATTCACATGTTCCCGTTGACACCCAACAGTGCTTCACACTTGCATTTCCTCGCCAAACAAGCAACACTGTCATGATTCTCATTGTAAAACATTCTGTATTCAAATCAGTGTTCCCATCTTTAAAAAAATAAAATACAATGTTACGGTTTGAATGTAAAATGTTCAAAGGGCCCCCCAATACTCAAACTTCCACCCTGCATTGCAGCCCTGTGCATATTAGAGCTCATAATGAGAAATCCATGATTGTTTTTCATAATTAACGAGCAGATCAAAGTCTGAGGCCGCTAAGGAAGGCAGCGCATCAATTGGTCGATAGGATAGCGAGAGAGAAAGAGAGAGGGAGGGAGGGACAGCAAGAAAGAGAATAAGAGAGAATTCGTTTTAAGCATCTTCAGCTTAGCTCTGCTGGTATACACATATGAATATGCCTGGGGAAATCATTTGCAGCTAATTCTGCAAGTGCATCGCTTGGACATGGATTTCTGTTGGGCTGCGAGTACAAAGATCAAATATAGTAAGAAAAAGACCTCCGGGGGTTCAATCCACTCAACTGCGTTTGTCAGAAACTTAGTGGATCTCTGTGAAATGAAAAGCAAACAAAAAAGTAAAATGGAGAGTGTTACGATATGACAAGTTTCTGAGGTCGAATGTGTGCATTATAGATCTATTGCTTAGTTCTGTGTCAATGCAACTCTTTCCTGCTTCCATTACAAAAATATTCAACAAAACGTGTCGGATGCATGATTCCTCTGGCATATGTGGAGCACAATTCTTTGTATGTCTAACTCCCTTCATCTCACTAAGCTGTGTACTCACTTCATTTTGCTATTTATAGTTCGTCCCTTTAGAACCTCATCATCATCGTCATCTTCATCGTCGCCTACATCCTGTCTCATTCCTTGCTTCCTTTTCAACTGTCAGCCACAGGAGAAGAAAGTCTTGCGAAGAGAAAAGGTGCAGGACAAAACTATGGAGGGCCAGCGTCTGTTCGCTTTCAAGAGAAGCTGCCAGAGTCTCCAGCTGCGCAGGGGCTGAGGAGCTCGTCCAAATTGCTGCGGAGCTTCTCTGCAGCTGTCAGAGCTGGAGCTTGATGTTGTTGCAGAGAGGCAAAGGGTGCAGAGGGAGAGGGCAGCAGAGCTGAGCGCACCATCCCACAGGCGGCTTCAAATGAGTTCACGCTCACAGCTGACAGGAGGGATGACTTTGCTGTGACACATTTTGGTTTGAGTGTCTCTATTGATTCCTTAGAGTGTGTGTAGTTATGTAAAAAAATCTGGTAATTGTTTGGTTTGGTGCAGGATAAGTTCACCATTCAACGTGACCTGAATAAAAATCATATTTTATTCTCAAACCTACGAGACTTATTAGCCCTGTTTATTTACAGGTGATGTAAAACTTTAACAGTATAAAATAGACTAAATTTAATACTGCAATCTCTTTATTAAAACCCATCAAGAGAGTTACACACCATAAAGCCTCACAAATAAGCTTTGT